AAACTCGGGACCGGGAGTAAACCTGCAGTCTGAGAGTGAAGTGCTCTGTTAGGAAAATATGGAACAATAATATCTTGAATATAAGATGGAGCTAGGTTGTTGAGAGCTTTGTGGATTAGAAGTAAGATTTTGAATTCTATTCTGGACTTGACAGGGAGCCAGTGGAGAGAAGCTAAAACTGGAGAGATATGGTCTCTCCTATTAACTCTCACTAAGACTCTGGCAGCAGCATTTTTTGGATTAAATGAAGACTTTTTAAAGAAGTATTTGGACACCCAGATAATAAACAATTGCAATAATCCAGTCAAGATGTGATAAATGCATAAACCAGTTTTAATAACTATACCTAATAATAATAATACTTTATTTATATAGCACTTTTTAAAACAAATGTTACAAAGTGCTTCACATTAATCAGTTTAAACCACATCAAAAATGCCACCAGAATCACAAAAAGTATACCAAATCAATTAAAATACATAACAATATAAGACAAAATTAAAATAAATATACAAAAAAATTCAGATATTAAAAGCCTTATTATATAAGTAAGTTTTAACTAATGATTTAAAAGAAGACAATGAAGAGGCCTGTCTAACATTTAGAGGAAGAGCATTCCACAAAATAGGAGCCCTGACCATAAAAGCCCTTCCTCCTTCTGTCACCAATAGAGCTCTGGGAGTGGAATGAAATAACAGATTTAAGGATCTGAGATTGCAAGAAGGGATATAGAGGTAAGAAGCTCAGATAGATATGATGGCGCAAGACCATTCAGGGATTTAAAAACAAACACTAAAATAATGGAAGCACATATAAGGTAAAGAATCTTGGTCCAAGTACTGATCCCTGAGGAACTTCATGACTAACTTTACTGTATGATGAAGATTCATTATTTACATTTACAAATTGGAATCTATCAGATAAATGTGAATTAAACCATTTTAGAAACGTTCCTGTAATCCCAGTATCATAAACAGATATGAGTAAACAGACATGCTCAAATTATTCATTAAGACGTGTCACTTAATTAGTGGTTTGCATATTTTTGTAAAGGCGTAAATACTTTATAACATGTTGAACAATTTTTATTATTTCTGCTGTTCATTTGGTTTTAATAAAAAATTGTTCAGGAGAAGGCCAGCAGAATGTCCACAAACTATTATCAGAGTGTGCACTCGTTCCTGCTTTGCAGTTTTGACACATTTCAACGCATCAAACTTGGGTTTTTATTTTTTATTTTTTTCAAAGATCAGGGAAACCGAACCTAAACTGAAAAACAGGCGGGAAACAGTTTGTTTCTGTGGGAGTGGAGAAACAAAAGCAGATCTGCAGGCTCTCCTGTCGCCGAGGTTTCACAACACCTGCCTTCTTCTTTCTCTTTCTGTGTTGCAGCTGTTCAGGACGAGCTCACATTCTCAGACGGATTACAGAGTTCGTATATACCGTATTTTTTGTACTGTAAGGCGCATTAAGCGAAACAAAACAATCAGATAAGTCAAACTTTGTTCAACTCATTCACAATAACCACATAAAATCAGTTCGAGGTCAGTAAGCACAACAAGAATTAATATAAAGTGCACCTGATTATAAGGCTCACTGTCGATTTTTGAGAAAATTAAAGAATTTTAAGTGAGCCTTATAGTCCGAAAAATACGGTAAATACATATATCATGTATATATATATAGAATCACAGGAGAAGCTTTTAGAGAAACAGGATTAAATAGCCTTCTGACAGATTTGCTGTTGGAGTGTCCTTGACCAAAACAACACGTCTCTTTCACCTCCAAGGTCTCTGTGGTCCGCCTGCGCTCGAATTTCTTTAAAAATAAAGAAATTCCCACCAGTTTGAAGATAATTAAGTTGAAAAATGCACTAATTGCCTTTAAGGAGGCAAAAAAAAACGACACCTGCTCAGGGGAGATGTTATAAATAAAACCCATAAAGATCTTCTATGTCTTCCTTGTTCACTTTATTCTCTCGTTTTATGCACTGAAGTCAGATAGTGTTGGAAGTGAGGCTTGAAGCGTGGTGACTTATTTTTAGAGCACGCCATCATTTGAAGCTAGGCCCTCCTCAGGAGAATGACAACGTTACAAGCCACTGCTTCCTGTCTGGCGTGTGCACGTTCTGCCATGTGAGCGCGGATGATCGACAGCGTCATGGCGGCCCCGAGGAGTGTAAAATGAGCTGTGACGTTTGTCTGAAAGGGCTAAATTTAGAATGTGCTGCCTCCTGAATAATAAGTGAGTGAGCTGCAGGTCTGCACATGATGTGGGACAAAACCTGCAGTGAGTGGCTGGGAGCTTCAGGACAGAAGAACCTGAAACTTTAACACGTTGTTTTAACCGATTAACTGTTCTGGTCTTGAGAAAACCTGTAAGTTTAGCGAATGATTAAAGTAACGTTGTCTCGCCTTAACTAACATAGCTTGTCTCATTTTAATGTGCTCATTCTAATGTAATCTTTTCCATTTGTTTATTTCGATGGCTGTTTGTTGATTTGAGGACATGAGAGTTGGTTTGTTTTTTAAAAACTGATTTGAACTAAGTCACTCCTTGGAAAAGTGAGGAGAAACAGCTGTCTGAATCCAGCAATCAATCAATCAATTAATCAGTGGTGGGGAGGGCGGAGTTAGTAGATGGGGTTAGATAGTACATTTAGCTCCGCCCACTTGACTGGCCCTTGCAGGTAAGTTTATATTTGTACCTGGATTGGTTGGAGCTTATTTTACCAGTTATTTTGTAGTGAGGGTGCTTTTAAGGAACACAGTCATTCGTCTGAGTCTGAACTAGTCTGAGCAGAGATGTTGCCAAGTTTAAATCCTGAATACTAGATTTTAATTTTTTTATATTTATGTACCGTACTTTGTTTTTTTCCATCTACTTCTTTCTGCTTGTGCTATTTTATCTATTTATATCCAAACGTTCAGCTAATTCAGGAGATGGGTGCCATTTTGGTTTTAGTAACTTTTATATTTTTCTAAATGTTTTACTTTCTTTAAAAATGTTCTTCCTACATTTAAGACACATTAAGGTCTCCTCAGGCTGTTTAAAAATATTCTCCTTGAAACCTGCTTCAGAATGCTGCCGTCATTTTTGTCTTTTACGCTACTTTTATCTTCTATAAAGACTTTTTGTGTTTGCTATAGCTAGCATTTTGCTACTATAATATTTTAGCTATTTTTGGTACTTTCTCTTTTAGCTAATCAATTGCTACATTAACTTTTAGTTAACCTTTTGATGATTTAATTCAGTGTTTTGCTACTTTACAATCTTAGCTACATTCTTGGTACTTTAGCTTTTAGCTATCATGTGCTACATTTAACTTTTAGTTAACCTTTTGATGATTTAAGTTAGTGTTTTGCTACATTACGTTTAGCTACATTATTGGTGCTTTAGCTTTTAGCTAGCCTTTTGCTGCTTTAAGGTCTTAGCAACCTTTTTGTTACTTTAGCTTTAGCTATCATCTGATACATTAACTTTTAGTTAACCTTTTGATGATCTAATTTAGTGTTTTGCTACTTTAGTTTTATCTACATTATTGGTGCTTTAGCTTTTAGCTAATCTTTTGCTGCTTTAAGGTCTTAGCAACTTTTTTGTTACTTTAGCTTTAAGCTATCATTTGCTACATTAACTTTTAGTTAAGCTTTTGATGATTTAATTTAGTGTATTGCTACTTTTCGGTCTTAGCTACATTCTTGGTGCTTTAGCTTTTAGCTAGCCTTTTGCTACTTTAAAATCTTAGCAACCTTTTTGGTACTTTAGCTTTTAGCTATTTGCTACATTTAACTTTTAGTTAACCTTTTGATGATTTAAGTTAGTGTTTTGCTATTTTACGTTTAGCTACATTATTGGTTCTTTAGCTTTTAGCTCATCTTAGGCTACTTTAAGGTCTTTGCAACCTTTTTGTTATTTTATCTTTTAGTTAATCATTTGCTGCATTTAACTTTTAGTTAAGCTTTTGATGATTTAATTTAGTGTTTTCCTACTTTACGGTCTTAGCTACATTCTTGGTGCTTTAGCTTTTAGCTAGCCTTTTGCTACTTTAAAGTCTTAGCAAACTTTTGTTACTTTAGCTTTTAGCTAATCATTTGCTACATTTAGCTTTTAGTTTACCTTTCGATGACTAAAGTTATTGTTTTCTTTAGCTATAGCCTCACCTATCTTTTACTGCTTATAGCTCTACCTTTTTTTCTTCTAACAACCCAGTTTCTGCTTCTTCAGCAACAGCTATCAAACATTCTGCGTTTTCACACACAAACCTGAAATATTCACCAGTTGTGTATTGTTGTGTTGTTATTATTTCACCAAACTTGTTTGTGTTGGTTGTTTTTCCCGGAAATAAACTGAGTCACGCTGAAAATGACTGTTCTGAGTCTGAACAACTTGTTCTGCACAAATGTGTCCATTTATTCAAGTTCTTTAGCTTCTTTTCCTTTCTGGTGGTGTGGGAGCTCTCTCCAGCAGCAGTCAGATGTGTGTGTGTGTGTGTGTGTGTGTGTGTGTGTGTGTGTGTGTGTGTGTGTGTGTGTGTGTGTGTGTGTAGAGGGGGGTACGAAAACGTTCAACAACCCCCCCCCCCCCCCCCCCAAAGTGGGGGGGGAGTGGGGCACCAGCTGGCGGGGGGGGGGGGGACAGAAAAAATGAGGGGGGGGTTGTGAGGGGGGAAAACGAGCTGGGGGGGGGGGGGGGGGGGGGGGGGGGGGGCGGTGCTATGATCATATTAAGGACATGTGTACATAAACACCGGCTCCCCCAGTCTGCAGAGGTCTGGTGTTTGACAGGAGGCTCTGCTCTGTCTGGCCCTGCTGCTGCTGGTCAACACCTTTTTAGCTGCATGCGGGCAGATGTGTCTGCCTCACATCTGGAGCCAGAAAACTCCCTGAGCTTTTCGCTGTTTTGAAGAGCTGCTGTGTTGTCGCACCTGCAGCACAGACAAATAATCTTTAAGCACTTTTAAGGACTTTCAAGGACTCTTTTCTTGCCCGCAACAAGAGGCACAAACACTTCATCATTTTAGTAGAGTGCTGCCTCTCTCTCTGTATTTGTCCCGTTAGCAGCGGATGTGAAAAGTTGCTGACAGCGCAGCAGCGGACAGCCTTCCTCATCAGATAAGTGCAGGTTTGAACATTGTCCCGCTGGGGGACTGTTGCGCACAAGACCACAGGAGCGCGCGCGCTCAGCTTCAGGTAGAAAACGACAACACCTGAATCCGTTCAGGAAGAAAGGAAGGAGCCAAGATGACGGACGGAGCGAGACAGCGGAGCAGCACGGCGGGCTCTGCCAAGGATGCTGCCGAGGAGAAGCAGCAGTCTGGAGGAGTGGCGCTGAAGAAGGAGATCGGGCTCGTGAGCGCGTGCGGGATCATAGTCGGTAAGTCTCTTTGATGAGTAAAAGCTGTGCTCTGACGGAAGGCTCCAGCATCACCCGCCGTCTTTCAGTTTTGAACTGTTGCCTTGCAAATGACGTCATGCCTGACCTCACCTTGAGCGCTCAGACGATTATGCTGAAGATGACTCTCAGCCTACTACCACCACTGTGGCAGCCATCTTGAATCGGACTGACTCGAACACGGCATATTTTGCTAACAGACCGTGTTGATGCTTTAAGTTGATGCCGATGATTGAAGCTAAAATAAAGTTTGCGCACTGAGTAGCTCTCACACCTCAGCTTGTACCACACAGTCTGCTGGGTTATAGTCGTTTTAGTGTTTCCCAAGGTCAGCTGGCTGTGGCAGCCATCTTGAACCGGTTGACATGAAAGCATAGTCAATTTATGTGATTAAAAATCTCATGAACAAGAGGTTTATGAGATATTTTGCTAACAAACACTATTTAATGGCAACATTTCAAACCAGGTTTGGTGTGAGTTAGTGCTCAGATAACAAGATGGGGATGACGCTCAACTACTACCATACCAAAGTTTAGAGCAGTATGTGTAAAATTAGCTGAGTTAAGGTCATTGGCTGCAGCAGCCATGTTGAGTCCAAAAGTTAATCCTTTGAAAACGTAAATTCAATAAATATGTTCACAGTTTTGTTCAGTCTGTACACGGTTGCATACGTAGCTGTATAAAATCAACCTTGTACTGATTTTATACACTTAAAACTCATAAAGTCCAACACAAGCACTAATCTGGATACATGTAGGCATGAAAAGGTCACACACACAGATTTACTTCTATGAAGTCCCACTCAGTGTAAGAATGTTGGGCCCTTTGCACCGTAGATGTCCTGTTTTTATCTTTCGTCATCTCTCTGCAGGCTGAGTGTCGCCTCACTCCACGCAGCCGATTTGTTCGTTCAAGACGGTTTGTGCGCTTGCTCACATGAGCGACTTGTGAGGCTGCTCGCCATGGCAGGTGTGAAACGTGTCTCTAATTGCAGCGTTGCTCCCTCATCTGATAAGAATACAACTCATGGTGTTTCAAAGTTCATGCTCAATAATCCAGGTAAAAAAAAACAATCCAACAAAGTTCAGTCAGGTCACATTTTCTACTGCTGGAGACACCATCAGCCAGGAGTGCTGGGCTTGTTTGTGTCCAGAGAAAGCAGACATGTTGATTTTTCTGAAGAAAAAAAACTGTTAAGTGAAAACCAACAAAGTCCATGCTCAATAATCCAGGTATACAATCTAACAATTTTCAGTCAGATCATCTGGACAGTTTCAAAAGGTCCTCAGTGTGTAGCAGTGAGCGTCAGACACTGGCGTGTCACTGGTGTGTCACTGGTGTGCAACTGTTCTTTAGGTCTGGAAATTATTTGTTTATGCAAGAAAACTGCTTGGAATGGAAAAATACCAAAGTTAAAAAATAAAACTCAAGATTTGTACTGTAATGTGTAACGGAATTTTCTTCTTGTTAGAATTAATATTAATTATAAACTTGGTATTAAAAAAAGCTCTGTTCAGGAACGGATATCGAAGTGAAGGTACCGGTATCAAAATTTTTGAACGATACCCAGCCCTATCTGGACGGTTTCTTTTCTTTTTCTTTTTTTTTGAGACATTTCGTCTTTCATCCAAAGGACTTCATCAGTCCGAGGAGCCACAAACAAACTTAGTCCCACAAGCAGCACACTCCCATAGTGAACCAACCAGTTTGCTGGTGATAAGATGGTTTCTGGGGCCTGCCCTCTCCCCCGTCGACTCCTCTGAGGCAGCCATAGCCAAAGTGGTTATCTTTGGGGATAATCTTTATCTAACCATCTTATCACCAGTTGGTCCACTACGGGAGTGTCCTGCTTGTGGGACTGAGTTTGTTGTAACTCCTCGGACTGATGAAGTCCTTTGGATGAAGAATGAAATGTAAAAAAAACAAAGAAAAGAAACCATCCAGATGACCTGACTGAACTTTGTTTGGTTTCCTGGTGTTTAAAAAAGTTAAGTCTGGTCCTCTGGATGGGTTCAAAAACTGTAGAAACATTTCGTCTTTCATCCGAAGGACTTCTTCAGTCGGAGGAGCTGTATTCAGCTCAGTCTTATAAATAGCACCTTCTCATAGTGGATCAACCAGTTTGCTGTTCACAGCTGTTCACATGATCAAGGAGGACCATCAGCCTAACCATGGATCGTTAGCACCCTGATGGCCGCTTGCTATTCACAGGGGGCTGAGTGATACTAGCAATAACAGCATTGTAAGAGGGGGACAGTTGAACACGGAGGCCTCAGCCAATGTTTAATGATGGACAGGTTCTCTTCACAAAGATGGCCTCCTTTACTCGTTTATACAATTTTTTGTTTTTTGAACCCGTCCAGAGGACCTGACTTAACTTCTTTAGATTTTCCTACCTGGATTATTGAGCATGCGTCAGGATATTTCCTGATGTTTGTTTTTATTAGGCTTAACCAGACTGTAAATATCTCAAGAAGAAGAGTTTAGTCAAGAGATCAAGTTTGGTCCTGACCGCCTAGAAGTGTGTGAAACGTAAAAGTTGTTATTGCAAAAAGCATTATCTGCTGACGATGGGGTAATAATGGTCGTGTTTGTTTACCATCCATCCATCCATCCATCCATTTTCTTTACCCGCTTATTCCACTTTGGGTCACGGGGGTCGCTGGTGCCCATGTCCAGCAATCACTGTGCGAGGGGCGGGGTACACCCTGGACGGGTCGCAAGTCCATCACAGGGCCACATAGAGACAAACGAGACAAACAACCATTCACTCTCTCACTCACACCTAGGGACAATTTAGAGTTACCAATCAGCCTAACATGCATGTTTTTGATCTGTGGGAGGAAACCGGAACACCCGGAGAAAACCCACGCATGCACGGAGAGAACATGCAAACTCCACCCAGAAAGGCCCCTGGACTGGGGTTTGAACCAGGGACCTGCTCGCTGAGAGGCAGCAGCTTTACAAGTTGCGCCACCCGTGTTTGTTTACCATTTGGTGTTTTAGTAAAACGTCTCATGACACACCAATAAAAGTTTCAGATTGTAATCGCTGGATGTACATTTCAGATCTCGCCCTTTTTGGAGAATCACATTCAAGATGGCCGCAGCAGCTAGAGCAAACACAAAAATGTCCACAACTCAGTCAAACTGACAGACATAGAGCTAAAATTTGGTGTGGTAGTAGCTGAGCATCAGCCCCAACACATACATTTACTGCGACACATCACGCAACATCTTGGCTGAAAATTGGCAATAGCTGTTGGGGTGAGCTATATCTGTTAGCAAAATATTTCATACGCCACCAGACAAATTCTAACGAAACTCTCTGGAGGTTATCACCGGATGTGCACCTACAGCTGATTAGCTTCAGGAGTCGAGCTAATTCAAGATGGCTGCCATACCTGAGCAACCTTAGCCAACACTGTGATAACTTAGATTTGCAGAGATGGAGCTAAAATGTGTTAGCCGCTCAGAGCTATTAACAACACAGCCTACGGATGAACACATTTTGTGAAATCTCACAACATTGCAGTGGGCTGTGCATTACAAGATCGCTCGTTTCAGCACTTATTCATGCTAAACTTGTGTTGTTGCCCTAAATGTGTGGAAAATGAAGGAATAAAACAATCATTTGTTCAGAGGGACACTTAAAGATAACACCATCTGATATTGGGCTGATAAGATAGGGTGTCCACAGGAAGTGTGGTGATGTCCTCAGGTTGACCGCCAAGAGATCAGATGACTCATCCAAGTGTTTCCAAGGTAACGGCAGGAAAGTGGGCAGAGAAGGTGACGTGTGTGTGAACAGTGTTTTCTGGAGAGGTTTGCTAAAAGAAAAGGAGAGAGAGGTTATGGAGAGTGTGACGTCTAACCTCACTGAATCCAGTCAAATGTTTTACCGCCACCAGTGAATTGTTCCCATGTGCCACTGCCTGCAGTATTCAGACGTTGTGGTGGGTTTTTTCCGTTGGAGACACGTTTCGTTCATGAAATGCAGCTCCTTTTTCCCCCCTCTAAGCACGTGTTGCTCATTATGGTCACAAACTCCATCAGCCCTGTTGGGATCTGTTTCCAGAATGCTGCAGGGGTCAAATAATAGATCTAATAGATCTGTTACACATCAGACTTTCTTGTTATCACGTTTCTGTTAGTTAATGCAAAATTTATTCAGGCTTCAGAAAAATGTATTTATTTCAAGCCGAAGTGCTACAGCGATCCATTGACTATAAATTTTAGTTCAATTTCTGTAGCTTTTAGCTTTTATTAGCCAACCGCTAAATGTGGCTTTTTGTTGGACTTCTGTAGCTTTTAGCTTTTATTAGCCAACTGCTAAATATGGATTTTAGTTGACTTCTGTAGCTTTTAGCTTTTATTAGCCAACCGCTAAATGTGGCTTTTAGTTCGGCTTATGTAGCTTGTAGCTTTTATTAGCCAACCACTAAATGTGGCTTTTAGTTCGGCTTATGTAGCTTGTAGTTTTTATTAGCCAACCGCTAAATGTGGCTTTTTGTTGGACTTCTGTAGCCTTTAGCTTTTATTAGCCAACTGCTAAATTTGGATTTTAGTTGACTTCTGTAGCTTTTAGCTTTTATTAGCCAACCGCTAAATGTGGCTTTTATTTCGACTTCTGTAGCTTGTAGCTTTTATTAGCCAACCGCTAAATGTGGCTTTTAGTTGACTTCTGTAGCTTTTAGCTTTTATTAGCCAACTGCTAAATATGAATTTTAGTTCGATTTCTGTAACTTTTAGCTTTTATTAGCCAACCACTAAATGTGGCTTTTAGTTCAACTTTTGTAGCTTTTAGTTAGCATTGTGTTGCTTTTAGCAAGCATTCCCTTCCCTTTGGCTCATGATTGGCTACTTTTAGCTAGCATTTTATGGTTATGCCAGTTTTTTAGGTCTCTGTATTTTCATGGCCGTTGTTTCCCTCAGCTCCACTTCCAGCGCACACGTTGTTCATCTGCTCATCAGCCAGCTGCT